TCAGGACCTTCATGATTTAATGCAGGGATAGTAAATGCAAAACGTGGACTATCCTCGGGATGAATTGGAATTGAAAAAAACAATCTTTAATATCTATAGCTAAAACGTACCAGGTTTTTGGCAAAGCAGACAATTGAGGAATCCCCGATTGAGCAGGTCCCATAATAACCATCTCATTATTAATGGCTCTTAAATCTTGCAATAATCTCCATTTACCAGATTTCTTTTTAATGACAAAAATGGGAGTATTATAAGGAGATACGGAAGGTTGTATAGGTCCCTCCGCTAATTGTTGTTTGACCAGGTCATGGGCTGCTGGTATCTTTTCTTTAGTCAGGGGCCACTGAGGAACCCATACTGGTCTATCTGATTTCCAAGTAATTTTTATTGCCTCAGTGACCCCTTCTGAAAACCCAATCCATGTCTATTTATTCCCTGATCTATTTGAATTGGTGCTGCTATACCTTGTTCTCCTAATCTTTTTTCTTTCCTGAAACCTTGTCTAGCCTTAATAGTGGGCGCATTTGGATTGATATTATTTGTTAATGTTAAACCTAATTGATCTAGGACATTTAGTCCTCATAAATTTATAGGAAGATGACCCAATACATATGGCTGTATAGTTCCTTCACATCCTTCAGGATCCTTCCAATCTAATACCATTGCACTTCTATGGGGATTAGTTGCCATTCCTAGGCCTCGAAGCGTTTGAGTGGCTTGTTGTAACGGCCAATGTTTTGGCCATTCTTGACGAGAGATGATGCTAAGTTCTGCACCTGTATCCAGTAGCCCATTAAATTCATGTCCTTGAATATTTAGTTTTAGAATTGGGAGAGAATCTAAATTCAAAGACAGCATAGCCCAAGTACACCTGTGGAGCCTAATCCCCTGGAACCTCTTTCTATACTACTACTGGAAAATTTATCATGTAGGCTGGGTATTATTAATAACTGTGCTATTCTGTTAGAGTCTGTAAACAAGTCAAAATAACACCTGGCATTTTGCCAGGGGAATGTTAGAGTTCGTAAAAAAGTCTGGATGGTGCCTGGCAAAATGCCAGAGGGAGTGGTTTGAGAAGTAACAAAAGCGAGCCATTAAGTGTGGAGATTCCTGATTGGTTGACTGCTGTATCTAGTTTATATTAATTAGATAAGCTGTGTGGAATGTATAAATACCGCTCCTGTCCTACAATAAACGGCTCCTACTCCTGCAGTATCAATCTACACAAGTTGTTCGTCACCCCCCGGCTAGTTTGCCCAGCCAGCCGGCCTTCGACACTATTCTATCTCCTGGTGAAATTACTGATATACCCTTTGGAGAACTAGCTATAATTTTTATTTCACCTTCATAATCGGGATCAATTACCCCAGGACTTATCATAAGTCCTTTTAGCGTAGAAGAACTGCATCCTAACAATAAGCCTACTGTTCCTTGGGGAAGAGGTCCTTTTACTCCTGTGGGAATGATTTGAACTCCCATCTCTGGAGTTAGTACTGCTCTGGCGGAGGCGCAGATGTCCAACCCTGCGCTCCCTCTGGTTCGTCTGATGAGAGATCTGATGGATAATGTGTCCTGGGCACTACCCTGATGGTGTTGCTGGGTTCCTCCATGGTGTTTCTGGGTTCCTCCAGTGCCCCGTACATTTGTGGTCGTGGGCCCCGGAGCATTGGGCCCCCCTGTCCGTTTTTTGGCAATGGAACCTGATGCCTTTCTCCACGATATCGTGGGTAAACACCTGGTCCTTGTCCATTTTTTGATAACGGAGTACCCTCTATGGGGGTTTGAGAATGGCATTCATTAGCCCAATGTCTCCCTCTACGGCATCGTGGGCAAATACCCAGTATTCTATTCCTTTGATACCTAGCTTTGTTAAATCCTCCTCCTATGGGGCAACTCCTTTTAAAATGTCCTGTTTGTTCACAATTGTAGCATGTTTTTGGCCTGGCATCTAAAGTCTGTTTTACTGCTGCCAAGACTTGTCCTTGTTCATTAATGTCTCTACATAATTTAATATATGTGTTTAAATCTTCATTTCTCCATGGTCTAATGACCTCTCTGCAGCAACGATTTGCTTGGTCATAAGCCAGTTGTTTTATAAATGGCATTGCTTGTTCTGTATCCCCCAAAATTCTGGAAGCTGCTTGAATAAGCCTATCTACAAATTCAGCGTAAGGTTCATTAGTTCCTTGTATTACCTTAGATAATTGACCTTGTAAATCTTTATGCCCCTGTAAAGTTTTCCATGCCCTAACCGCATCTACAGCAATTTGTGCATATATGCCAGGATCATATTCAATTTGTTGCCATTGACCCTCATAAGGTCCTTTTCCTAACAACATATCTAGATTTCTTTGAGGGTAACCGGCTGTTGCATTTCGCCTAGCTGTCTCCCTGCAAAATTCCTCATTGGCAACCTTCCATAACAAATATTGTCCTCCATTTAGCACAGATTTACACATACTAGCCCAATCTGCTGGCGTCATGTACAAGTTGGTAATGGATTCGACCATGCTTACAGTGAAGGGTGCTTGAGGACCATAGGTTGTTATAGCCTCCTTTAACTGCTTCACTGTTTTGAAATCTAAAGACAGTGAATTCGCTGCCCTCCTGCCTGCTCAAGTACAGGGCATGCTAATCTTTGAGATCCTGTCTCAGGATCCCATCTATCAACTACGGGGGTTGAGGGCCACTCAGCTGTCTCCATAGGTGGAGCTGTTGGTTGAATTATACCCTCTGGTGATAGAACGGTGTTAGTAGCAGCCTCCTGTTGTAGCTTTTTCCCTAATAGCTGTTTCTCCTCTAAGCTTTCTTCTTTTAAATTTTCTTCCTCTGTCTGACTAGCTTGAGAGACCGTCTCTTTTGCTTGATCTAAAATGTCTTTCTCCATGGTCTGACAATTTACTTAACATTCTTTCAGTTTGTTTTTTATTAATTTCTAATCTGTTATAAAGATAACGCAACCCAATAAAATAACACAAAACAAAACCGAAACAGAATGAAACAAAAACAGAACAAAAAATCGTTGTATCAATTTTCTTATTTTCTTGACATGTGCATTTGTGGTCTATTTCTATCTCTTCCTCAGGGGCGAACAACTTCAAACCTTGAGCCAACCATTTTTTTCAGTCTGCCTGAGAAAATTCTAGGGATAGGCAGCTTGAAACAAACACAAAACAAATCAAAACAAGAACACATTGCTTTTTAAAATGGTCACCCATTCTCTTGCCTTCCCTTAGGGGCAAGCAATTTCACTTACCCCGAAGCTTCAGACATTCCCCGTACGGGCCACCAATTGCCGCAGTCTGGCTGGGCACAAATCACGAGCCACTGAAGCAGAAACAAACTTTATTTTTGAACTGCAAGAAAAAACCTCACACACACTCCTGGGGAATTCTCCCGAATGCCACGCGGCTAGTCCAGGAACCCCCAGCCGCAAATATCTCTCCCGGAAATCCTTCCTCCTGCACTTCCCCAACCAATGGGAACTCTCGGGGAATCCCCGGAAATCCCCACGAGAACTCCAAAATAGTGCGAGAACTCAAAAGTAGCGGCAGAGGCAGATAGTAATGCCTCACCTGTCAATCAATACTGTTGGCAAAATGCCAGGGGCCATACAGACTCGGCCGTGGCTCTCAGCAGGATCCACAAATAGGAACTGAGAATTTCTTGAGTTTAAGGCCTGAGTCTGAGAGAAGGGCTCAAGGGAGGAGTAGAGGACACTGTCTGGCCCTTGGGAGAACACAGGCCTTCTCCAGCAAACCAGGCAGTGTCCACATGCTTAATCGGCTTCAGCCATCCAGATGCATGGCCACCACAGAGGGGCAGCTTGCCAGGCGGTCAGGGTGGCACATCTGTCTGGAATACTCTGCAGGCAGCGCGGGTATCTCAGCTTCTGGAGCAAACAGCCAACAAGATCAAACCTCGGCCAGCGTGAGCTGTTGACCCTGGAGTCAGAGGCCCGCAAGCTGGTGGCTTGTCATTAGGGAGTGGGACAAGAGTTTCCCAGTCAGTGTGAGTGACAGGCAAGCTCTGCCTCACGTCCCCTGTGAGGAGCCCCGACAGGACTGAGCCGGGTCTGCAGCCTGTAGCTTCCGCTGTTGCTGGGATGAGGCTTTGTGAGGCACCTGGGTTCCAAGGCTGCCACCAGGACCAGGGAGGCCCTCCACTTCCCAGCACCGAGTTCAAGGCGTGCCTTTGGTGCTCAGCCTGCTGTGACAGAGGCGGCGGTTGGAGGGGACTCTGCTGCAGTTGGGCTTCTCAGCCCCAAGCCTGGCAGCCATCCTCTGAACTCAGCTGTGGTCTGCATGCAGCGTGGGGCCGATCACCGGTGGTGGTTCCCCAGGAGCTGGCGGGCTTTCTGTCTGGTGAGGCTCAGGAAAGGGGTCTCTGGGGCAGGACGTGGCCTGCAAGCTTCCCGAGGGCGAGTGGGCACAGGGCTGCTGGGAGAAAGGAGGGCTCACAGGTGGGGATGGGCCACTCAGGAGGGCAGGCAGTGGGTGGAAGCCAGGGGCCGTGCAGAGGGGTCCAGGAGCACAGGAGGGGACCAGGAGCACCAGGGCGGCTCACAGGAGCCACGGAATGGGAAGCAGGCGTGGCCCTGCTACACTGTGGTGATGGCAGTCTGGGACCATGGGCACCTGACACCAGCCCTGGAGCAGAATCCCGCCTCCAGGGAAGACCAGGAGGCCTGAACCACAGTGGCCATGGAGGGGCCCCATGCCCCAGCCCCAGCAGTGCTGGCTCCTGCCCCCAAGGTCGAGGTCCCAGTGTCAGGAGGCACTGCTGGGCACCCCTCCTGGAGCCCCTCCAAGCCTGGTGGAATGAAGGAATGAGGGCCCAGCTCCTGCCGAAGGGCCTGCCTGGGAGGGGCTGTGGAGAGGAGGCAGAGGGCAGAGGAGGCTGGGACGGGGTGGCCTCGGCCACGTCAGGAAGCAGAGGAGGCGCCTGGAGCTGGGACAGATGTGCTTCTGTGTGCCGTGTATGTGATTGTGCTGCGTGTTGTGTTGCAGGTGGTGTGTGCTGTTATTGTACGTTGTATCGCAGGTGGTGTGTGCTGTGTGTGCTGTGTTGCAGGTGGTGTGTGCTGTGTGTTATTGTGTGTCATGTTGCAGGGGGTGTGTGCTGTGTGTCATGTTGCAGATGGTGTGTGCTGTGTGTTATTGTGTGTCCTGTTGCAGAGGGTGTGTGCTGTGTGTTTTTGTGTGTCGTGTTGCAGGTGGTGTGTGTTGTGTGTCATGTTGCAGGGGGTGTGTGCTGTATGTTATTGTGTGTCGTGTTGCGGGGTGTGTGCTGTATGTTATTGTGTGTTGTGTTGCAGGTGCTGTGTGTTGTGTGTCGTGTTGCGGGGGGTGTGTGCTGTGTGTTATGTGTCATGTTGCAGGTGGTGTGTGTTGTGTGTCGTGTTGCAGGGGGCGTATGCTGTGTGTTATTGTGTATAGTGTTGCAGATGGTGTGTGCTGTATGTTATTGTGTGTCGTGTTGCAGTGCTGTGTGTTGTGTGTCGTGTTGCAGGGGTGTGTTCTGTGTGTTATTGTGTGTCGTGTTGCGGGGTGTGTGCTGTGTGTTATTGTGTGTCGTGTTGCGGGGGGTGTACACTGTGTGTTATTGTGTGTCGTGTTGCTGGGGGTGTGTGCTGTGTGTTATTGTGTGTCCTGTTGTGGGGGTGTGTGCTGTGTGTCGTGTTGCGGGGGGTGTGTGCTGTGTGTTATTGTGTGTCGTGTTGCGGGGGGTGTGTGCTGTGTGTTATTGTGTGTCGTGTTGCGGGGGTGTGTGCTGTGTGTTATTGTGTGTCCTGTTGCGGGGTGTGCTGTGTGTGTTAGAGTGTCAGTGTGTGCCTGTTCTGCCCAGCAGCAGCAGCATGGAGCCCTGGGGCTGGTGGGCCAGCCGCTGGCCCTGAGGCCTCCTCTGCTCCCCTGCTGCCTGGAGCCCTGTGGGCCTCCCCCCTTCCAGGGTGCTGGCCAGCAGGGGCACCTGCTCTCGCCCCTGGGACAGGAAGGCCTGCTGGTTCTCCTCCCCACCTTTCTGGTGAGGGTCACCTGGGACCTGGAGTGGCAGGACCCATTTTGGGCTTAAGGAGGTCGATGCCTGGCATCTGGGCCCAGGGGTAGTCCCTGGCCTGGATGGCTGGTCCGTGGAGGTAGAAGGACATGCTGGGCACTGCCCTGGTCACCCTGTAGAGTGCCCTCAATGCCCACATGTGCTCATGGGAACTGTCCCCAGCCTCGTGCCCAGGCACCTGGGGTGACTGCCAGCTGGCCCTGACTGGCCTGCCCTCTCCACTGGGTCCTGCTTCCTTGGAGCTGGTTCTGTCTGGGGGCATGCATCCTCTCTGGGGGGGAAGAGGAAGGCTCTGCTCGCTGGCAGCCTGGGCTGGTCCTGGCTTTTCTAGACTTTCTGACCTCCTAAGAAATATGAATTTGCAGTAGAAAACCACATTCCCCTGTAAGCATTCCAAACTAGCGGAAGGGCATCGAACCTCGTGAGCAGGGACGTGGGGGACTGGCTCTGGGCCCAGCGCCTCTCTGCTGCTGTGGGCAGCACCCTGTGGCCCTGCACCCTTGTTCTGGAGAACCCTCCCCTACTCTGGTAGCCTGGAGAGCCGCCGCGGCTCAGAGGGAAAGCGCCCTCCGGGCTGAGGCCCTGCCCTCCACTGGCTCTACCACTCGGCCAGGCTGTGTGGGCGGGGACCACGCTCCGGTCCTGAAACTGCTCTGGGTTGTGAGTCCTTTCCCAGGGCTGGGGTGGATCCAGGGCTCACACCCAGCCCTGAGTGGTCACCAGGCAAGTCGCACGCCAGCAGACCCCAGTGCGCTGGGTGGTGGTCCTCCACACCCGCCTGCTGTCTTCTTCCAACATTCCCTCTCGCCTACCTCTTCCTGTCGCGTGGGTGGGGCTGGGTCTCCAGCCACAGGGCTGCTTCTGGGCTCCCCCAGCCTGGTCTTGCCTCCTGCCTGCCTGTCTCTGTCTCCCATGAAGCTGGCCCTGTGGCCCTGTCCACTGGTTACACTCAGAATGTCGTGCAGAGTGTCACCTCCAGGTGACACTCAGCATCAGCCACACTCTGCAGACTTGGCTTCCCCCAGGGCCACAAAGGGCTTTGCCCAGCTGTGTTATGGCCAGGTTCCCAGAAGCCCCTCAGAGGTGGCACCCAGGTGACTCGAGGCCACCTTGCAGCTGTGGACCATCTTGCTGTCCCTTCTCCCTCTCAGGCACCTTCCTCCCTGATGGCTGCCAGGGCTGCTCCAGAGTGGTGTCCCAGAGCTCTGTGGGGGCCAGGTTCCTGTCCCTGAGGAGGGAGACCTAGAGTCTTGCGGAGGGAGCACCAGCTTGTTTGCTCCTGACTGCCCCTCCCTGCTCACCGAGGAGGCAGGGTTCTCCTGGCCTCTGATGGACCTGTCTGTCCATACATGAGCCCCAGGGTTCATGGCTGAGAGCGTTGGCTAGGGCTTCCCCAGAGCTTGCAACCGTGTCTGGTGACCAGGGTCCGGCCAGTGGGGCAGCTCATAGAGCACCCTTGGCTATGCCCAGAGCATGCTGGCTGTGACCTGGGGCAGCTTCCCCTGGGGCTGGACCCCTCCCCACCAGCAGGCCCCAGAGTCTGCTGAAGTCACCCTGGGCCATGCGGGGTGTCTACTTGCAGTCCTGGTGCGAGTGGTCTCCCTGAGAATGGTGGGAGGTGCTGCAGCTCACCTGCCCTTGCTAGGACCCTAAGTCCCCGGTGCCCCTCTCTGTCTTGCAGATGGGCATCTGTTGTAAGAGCCAGAAGCAGGTCGTCCCTGAAAACCTGGGCAGCTCTGTGAAGACCCCACCGCACCACCTGTCCAGGGTGAACGGCTGGTCGCCCCCTCTGCACTCCTTCCAGCTGGTATGCTGGGCCATCTTCCTGGTCATGTGTGTCACCACCTTCGGGATCTTCATCCCCTTCCTGCCCCTGGACTGGAAGCTCGCTGCCTACGCTGTATCCTTGCTCCTGGTGGGGCTCCCCAGGCCGCCTGCCGTCAGGGGGATGAGCAGGCCCCATCCCCCAGCAGGCCCGCCCGTGGCTCTGCCCCTGCCCAGGCCAGGCCAGCTGCCCTAGCACTGTGTCACCATGGCCAGGGGCTCCCTGTGCAGCCCACGCTCAGGCTTGGCAGGCGACCACTGGCCGGCGGTGGCAGGGCACAGGTGGTGAGCACAGGAGAGGGTGGGGCCTGCCTCAGCCAGCTCCCCCAGGACACTGAGGGGTCCACTCTGGTCGTCCCCCAAGGGCAGCAAGGCCAGCAGGAAGGGACTTCAGGACCCCGAGGCTCCACCATGCACCTCGGGCAGGTGTCTCTACGGTCCTGCCGAGTGCCCTGCCTCATAGGTAGCTCTGGTGTGAGAGCTAGACACCTGTGGCTAAGCCACTGCTAAGTCACAGATGGCCTGTTAGCTGTGCCCAGGTGGAGAGTGTCCATCTCTGGGCTGACCTCCCCACTGTGTCGGAATGGGAATGGTCTGTCAGGCCGCTGACCATGGCATTTGGCAGGAAGCCCCAGCCCCCCCCCCCCTCACTGAGACCTTAGGACAAGTGGACAGGGGCGGAATGGGCCTGCTTGGGGGACACACCTGATGGCTGGGTGCTAGAGCCCTCACTGAGCCACCATCGACTCATGCGGCCCTCTGCTTTGGCTGCCCACCGCAGGTCTGGCAAGGGAGAGACGCAGGGTGTGGAATGTGGGCAGGGAGGAGGCGCGGCAGGACCTGGGCATGCAGCCGGGCCAGGCCCCAGCTCCCCTGCACCGGGTCTGCTCTGCCTCTGGGTGTCCTTTCCAGAAGCTCCCACTGTGGGGGCCCTGCTTCCAAGACAGAGTGTGTGCAGTGGGCCTCTTCCCAGCACTGAGGCCGCCCTGGGGTCTGCGCCTGGCTCCTCCCTGTGCGTGGGGCAGTGTGGCCCAGGGCTGCTGCCACCCAGCTGAACGGGGCTCTCTTTCCACAGCGTGTGGCTCGTCCTGTGGAAGCCCACACAGCGCCTCTGGTGCACCTCCTCCACGTCGCCAGGGGTTCTGAGAAGTCACTCTTGGGGACTGTGGTTGCTGAGTGGTGCTCGGTGGCCTGGGGTGCTCCCTGGCGGTTTCTGTAATGGTCTGCCCTTCAGACTTTCTGCTCCACCTCTGTCCGCGGTGGCACATGGGATTCTTCAGGACATTCCAGCAGCTCCTTCAGTTGTCAGGTGAACAGGCTGCAGAGCCTGGGCCCGTGGCGGTCCCTCCTCGTGTGGTGACGAGCCGCTCCTTCCTGTCTTCGTGCACTGTCCTAGGGCTTGCCACCTCTGTGGCTCTCGTGGAGAACCAGCGTGGGGACCGTTCCTCTCTGTCCCGTGCCTGCCCTTTCTTCAGCGGGCCACGGGTTTGCTGTGCCCCTCCTTCCACATCTTAAGGTGGGAACTCGGCCACCCAGGTGGACGTGTCCTGTTAAAGCTGCGGCTTCCCCACCAGCACACAGAGCTGGCACACACAGTGCACACGCGCTCACACCTGCAGTGCACACAAGCTCTCCTTCGGCTCTCCTTCGAGTTCAGATGCTGCCCGCCCCAGACCTGGCGCTCTGCCTTGGGTCTGGGACGCCCTCTGCAGCCACGGTTTCCCTGAGCACCAGGCCCCGCCACCTGCACTTGTGGAGAGGGCGGGTGAGGGGGCTGTCAGTCCTACCAGGGTCCCAGGCTGCATTGCAGCCAGAGGTGCTAGGAAGGTCACAGTGCACGTCCCTCTGGTGCTTCTTGGGATTTCAACTTCTATTTGAAACAGAGGCTGCCCAGAGCCAGCCTGGGTGGCCCTGACTGGTCAGAGTGGGCAGCTGCACATCCCCACTCCCAGAACCCCAGAGAGGTGGGCAGCAGCACCCACTTCCCAGGGGAGCCCTTTATGGAGGCCTGGGTCCTGCCAAGTCACCAGCACGGGGCCCCAGGAAGCTGCACCCTGACCACGCCTGAACATGCGTGTGGAGCTCAGGCATCATTGAGGAAGGGTCTGAAAAGTGTGGCTGCCTGCGTCCTGCTCTGCAGACGCAGAGTGCTCCGTAGCCTTGGGCCGGCTGATCTCAGTTCTTGGTGGTGGCCCTCCCCACCACCCTGTGCCCTCCGCAGAACCTGGTGCCCTCCTGCCTCCTGTGGCATCCCCCAGACTCTGGTCTTGTTGGCCTGGAGAATGTCCTCTGTGGCCTGACGCCCCGGTCCTCTGCCCCGGTCCTCAGACCCTGAAAGCCTGTCTTGGGCAGCCTCCCCAACCTAGAGCCTCCCACAGAGTTCCACGGACCCCAAGACCATACCGTTGATCTCCATGTCCCTCAGTGTGGCCTCCTGGGTCTCCTGTGCATGCTGAGCATGGGGATGCTTCCCATGCCATGGTCGCCACCCCGGCTCACCTTCCTGCTTCTGCACAGGACGCCCCAGGTATGAGCACCCCACAGAACCGGGTCTCGCTGCGATGAGAAGCAGCCAGTGGCCCCGTGACCCTCCAAGCCCATCTCAGACCTCTGCAAGCGCCCCCATGTCCTTTGCCGGGCTTTTAGCCCAGAATCTGGCCAGGGCTCGGGCTTGAGTATGATCACAGAGCCTCTTGGTCTTTGGAGTCCAGCACACCTGCCTTCTGCTGGCCACTGCTGGCCTTGCCCTGACCCCGGGTCTTTGGGCATCCAGGCTGGCTGCACAACCCGTGGCCTGCCTGATGGAGGCCAAGCGGCTTCTGCAGAAGGCAGCAGGGTAGTTGTGAGCCATGCACACAGGGCCAGCACTTTCAGTGGGGACACCACTGCTCTTAGGGAGAGTGCACAGAATCAGACCTAGGACGGTGGGTGTGCCGCTCTGTACCCACAGCCCCCTCTGGTTGCAGTCCTGGGGGCTGCCCACCTCGGCCAGCTCACACCCTGCCAAGAGGGCCTCCAATCCTCACGGTTGTGCTGCCTCTTGGGCCTCTGCCTCCAGTGTTACCAGCTCCATGCACACGAGAGCCGCGGCTCTGCAAGGGCCACACGAGAGCCGCGGCTC